CGTGCCTCTCACTGTTGTGGCCTCTCCCGTTGCGGAGCACAGGCTCCGGACGCGCAGGCTCAGTGGCCATGGCTCACGGGCCCAGCCGCTCCGCGGCATGTGGGATCCTCCCGGACCGGGGCACGAACCCGTGTCCCCTGCATCAGCAGGCGGACTCTCAACCACTGCACCACCGGGGAAGCCCAACCATAAACTTTTTGAAAGTCAAAATAATTCTAAGGGAGTCAGATCTATCAAGTTCACCTACTTAACAAGTACACCTTGAATACCCACAACGTGTGAGGCACCTTGGAAGGTACTAAGGCTACCGGAGGAGGCCCTGCAGACACGAACCTGGCCCTCACGTGCCTTACAGTCCAGGGGCGACAGGCAAGAAAACAGGCAGTTACTACAACAACCCGCCAAGGGCTGTGACAGTAAGGAGATGCTAAGCGTGCTCTGGGAAGGCACAGCATGGGGGCCTAACCCAACGCTAGCGAGAAAGCAGGGCTGGGCGGCTGAGTGGGGCCCCGGGTGGCGGCGAAGCGATGGGGGACGCTCCCGGCAGCGTAGTCCCAGGCGGGGGATTGCCAGGCGGCGCGCGGCGCAAGCAGCCTAGGGGATGGGGGCGGGCAGCCGGGAAGCCCACAGGGCCGCTCACCTCCAGGAGGAAGGGCCGTGAGTGGCCCGCTCGCTGTAATATCTGGTAGTGCGGAGTCGGAAGGAGAGTCGGCCAACCAGCAGCGCGAGATGACAACCCAAAAGTCTCTCCGAAGACAAAAGCTCAGCCCGCAGCAAAGCGCGGAACAGGACGCACACCACGCACTTATAGCCGCGGTGCGGCCCAAAGCCCGCGCACGCGCACGCGCACTGGAGCCCTGACTCACGCAAGACCGCCGCCCCGCCCCTAGGCGAGGGCGGTCTGGGGTCCGGGGCGTTTCTGTGCGCTTGTGGTCTGGGATGTTTCGAGAAACACACGTCCTGCGGCTCTGAGTCATTGCGGTGGGCAATGGGACTAGCCGTGTGGGTTAACTTCGACTGACTTTTCTTGCTGCAGGAAACTTTTGAAGGAATCAGAAAGCTCATTTTTCCCTCATACCAAGTCGGTGGAAAATACACCTGAGACGCCCCAATCCAAGGGCCCGCATATTGCATGGGATGAAGTCCGGGCCGCGGGGGATGGGTTCTTCACCAGAGATTTCAACAAAGCACAGATTGTCAGAGGGCCTCAGACCCCCACCCTACCCTCTGCTCCCAGTTTTCTCCTTTCCAGAGACTGAAAAGCTGACTTTGTTTCACTTCCTAGAGGTACCAGGATTCCAGACGCCACCCCCTCAGCCTCCGAGTCCTGAGGTTTAACTTGCCATTGATATCTCTGGAATGGTGAGACCTTTTTACAACATAAATTACGTTTTCTATGAGTTTGTCACATTAAGAAAATGTGAAATACCTGGCCCTGGTGTCTGCGCTTAATTGCATGTGGCTGAGTGAGTCCCTTTGCACGCAGAATCTCAGTTTCCTCGTCTAAAATGTGGCCACTAAATGAAGTTTGAGGATGCTTTGCGATTGAACCAAAGAACTAGGAGGTCACAGTCCAACTTTATGTCCAGATTTGGGTGCTGGGAAGCCATATTAAGCACCACCCTCACAGCCCAAGAAATGTCGATGTTCTGTCGTGAGAGTACCCAATGGCGGATCTCGGGAAATAGAGTGCCGGGGACACGCCGGGAGTGGTGAAGCCCCTGGGGAGGAACGTCCACGCGGAAGGCTGTCGGTGGTTTCATTGCCTTCTTCCTGGGGAGGAGGAGGGGAGAGGGCCAAAGCTCGGGGGCTGGTGACTCTAGCAGGTCCACTGAGTTCTAGGACTGTCGGTTCCGCGTGCCTGCACTGGACGAGTGACAATCCAGGAGCTCCCTCGTCTCTGCGGGCTCCGCGTGCTCTGCGGAAAGGGACTAAACGAGTCAGGAGGAGCCAAATCCCGGCTGCGACCTTTAACCTACTTTCCTGGCTCAGTCTGCTGTCAGAGGAGGAGGGGCTGGAAAGGCCGCCAGGAAGGGAGAACGTTGCAGATGGAGACGTGCAGGCAGGCAGGCACTTTGAAATTAACTTTTCTACTCAGCCCGCAGGAATTTTTGGCTCTTCATTGTACTAGAGTTTCGTCTCCTCTTTCGCTGGACTCCGTGGCTCTCCTCTTGTACTGTTATTTAGGAGAGGCTCCAGCTCTGAAATCACGTTACCCTGTGTCCCCCACCCTTGCTAGTTAGAGGCCTTGGGCGAATTCTTTAACCTTTAGGTACTTTAGTTTCCTCAGTTGTTATATGGGATAATAACAGTCCTCACCTGGAAATTAAATGAGTTAATCGACATAAAGCACTGAGAATGGTGCCTGGCACATAGAAGACATTGTGTATGGGTTAAAATTATCTGTATCCTCTACTGCAAAACTCCCAGTGAGGGACTTTGCTCACAGTAGACTATGTTCAGTGAGTGAAAACAGGAATTCCACAATAACCCTTTGGGCTCTGCTTATTGGGAGCTCTAAAATTTTATTTTCACATAACTCAAAGGAAGAGATGGGCACCTCTCCAACAATTCCCTCCCTCATATTCACTGCCATTGTCTAAACATCCCGCCAGATGGAAACAACCAGAGTTTGGGTGAATATAGCCCAGTGCTTTCCCATCTATCAACTACAGATACTATTGACCATCATCTCTGGGTAGGTATCGGGCCTACCTATATCAAGATTCTTGTCCTGTCTCCACCACCTTGGCCAAGTTAATTAATCCCTTTGAGCCTTAGTCTCCTAATCTGTAAAATGGGGGAAATAATATACAAAACAGAGTTGTTGTGAGGATTTGAAATAATGCATGTAAAGTATGTGTCACATAGTAGATGATTAATAAATATTAGCTCTTGCTTTACTAAAAAGTATAAAGGCGGGTTCTTATCCTAAAATACGCTTGTCACCTGGTTGGGTAAACAAGACCTAAGAAAGATAACTAGCAACCCAAGTCATGGTAGGGTAGTGGTTAGAAATTAGTCAGACTTGAGTTTGAATCCTGCTCTGCAATTTGCTAAGTATTGGCCTTGGGCTCTTCTTGCCTGGTTTCTTCATTTATAAAATGGGAGTAGTAATAGTTCTTACCTACTAAGATTGTTATGAAGATTAGCTTAAATAATGGATGTAAAGTACTTAGTGTAGATTAGGGCAAGATAAGTGGTAGTTATTAATCTCATTAGCTTCTAGGGTGGACTGTTATAGATGTACTGCAGTGCTTGGGAGCCCAAAAATGGAGGAAGAGAGAGAACTGGCTGGTTGAGAAAAATGAAGTAAGAACATAGTTAGGGTGACAATGCTTTGCTTGGGGATCTGGAATTTTAATATTCCTCATGACTGAATGGAACAGAGGAAACAAAATAAGCATTCTCCAAGTAACAGACATGCTAAGCATTTTGCTAAATACAGCACATAAATTATTTAAGTTAATTTTCATAACAACCCTATGAGGTAGGTATTATTACCTCCTTTCTTTATGTGTTAACCATGCTTTTTCCACCAAAAGAAAAAGAGACTTCCCTCTAGCTAGTCTTTTATTCATCCTTCATATCTCAATTCAAACATGTTTCCTCTGGGAACACTTTGCTGACCCTCAGACCCTTGCTATAGGTTCAAGTAGCATGATATACATTTCACTCACTGTTTGTTACCTTACTCTTAGTTGTGTTAATGACTGCTACCCTTCAAGAACCTGAGTCAATGCAAGGAGTATCTGGTCTGATTTTGTTTTCATTCCATCCTAGCACCTAGCACCATGTTGGAGGCTTTCAATAAATATTTGTTGATAGAAGGAATAAATGAACAAATGATTATCTTGCCCAGCATCTTCAGGGAGTCCCCACTGTTCCACCAAAGAAGGGTGGATAGAGCTCCAAGACAAACCCGCTTCAGGGTCTACCTCCTCCTTGGAAACTGCTAACCAAGGAAAGCTCCATATGAGGTGTATCCTTATCCCCAAGCCCCTCAAAAGAAGTGATTCAATAGTTGGCTAACACAGGAGTATGTACTAAGAATACATTAGCTTCAGAAATTTGATCTTATGATCCTGGGTCCATTTAAAGAACATGTGCCCACATTGCTGATGAGTATAAATTGGTACACTCTCTATGGAAATCAATTTGGCAATACCTATAAAAATAAAAGAGTGCACATGCCCTTTAATCTATAATTTCACTTCTAGGAATGATCATTACAGGCAACTCCTGCATGTGAAGAATAGAATATGAGGCAGCCATTGCAGCACTTTTTGTAATAACAAAAGATTGGGGGAAAAAAATAGAACAGCGAGCTTATCAGTAGGGGACTGGTTAAGTCTATGACCAGTAGCAGAATTGCATATTCATACAATGGGTTACCAT